TCCATTTTTATAAATAACAGTTTTATAATTTATAAATTCAATATTATTCTCAAAATATTAGCTTTTTACATGCATTTTTTAAATAATAAGCGATAATACTCGCTGAAAAATATGGTAAAATATCTCATAGGTGAATTTTTGTATATACCAGGTCGAATATAATTTTAAAAAATTCCGAGCCGGGCCTGAAATTTTTAAATCCGGGCCGGGCCGTAAAAAATTTTTTAAAAAATATCCGGGCTGGGCCGGGCCGTAAAAATTTTTTTAAAAAATATCCGGGCCGGGCCTAAAAAATTTAAAACAAGGCCGGGCCGGGCCGTGCAAATGGTACCTCTGCAGGTCTCTGCCTTAATGTTAATTTTTATTTTTCTCATCACTATCCTATCTTCTTAATGTTAATTTTTATTTTTCTCATCAACTTCCTATCTTCTTAATGTTAATTTTTATTTTTTATATCAACTTTCCTATCTTCTTAATGTTAAATAATCGAAGGAGACTATATCTCTCTAATGTTAAATTTTTAGAAAATTTACGTGATACGTGATATATAGCGCTTATGCCCTCTAGTGTTGAATGCAACAGAGCTACGCTAGGTTTTCCTCATTTCCATCTTATTGGAACAGTTAAATTTGGGTATAAAAGTTAAAATATGAGGAGCCCTCCACACGTTTGTGGGCAAGCCGCACGTACTTGTAGGCGCAACATTTCGAAAAATATTACTTAAACCTCTATAGGCTTATACAAAAGGGAATGGGACAAAAAAAGAGCCTATACCCAATAACTACAGTGAAAGTTAATTACGTTGTGGTGGGTTGAGGACTTAACATTAAAAATCTTTACTATATTAAAACAATTTTTAGTAAGGAAATACAAAATATACTTATGAGAGGATTTGAATGTATGATGGTATTGGAAATGTTTGATAATGCTGAGTTTAAATTTTTTGAAATTTATTACGATGGTAAATATACGATAGGATTAATGGGTGATGATAATGTAACATACATTCTGAGAATGTATTTTTATACTCATTGAAGGTAACTTTTCTTGATGCGAAACAGTTTTTTAATGGATCTTTTATTGTTATTCAGTTTAATGAATTGTTTCATGTTAACGTTTAGACCCATTATATCTTTTATAGTTTTATAGTACCATAATGTTTTGTATTTTGTGTACTGTTTACCTTTATATGAGTACAGCCATGTTATGGCATCGTGGACTAAATTATTATCTGAGTTTCTTATTACGTGGCCTAAGAACTGAATCCGTCTTTTCTTAAGAGTAATATTCACTGGTGTGTGAGTAGACTTCCTCCAAAGATTCGAGTTAGAGATAACTCTTGGATAGAAAATCCCGTGTATCGTACGAAGACAATTATTTATAAAAGATTGAAGCCGTCTAATCTCTGTTTTGTTTGCCTCCCAGATATCTCCACCATATAATGCAATTGGAACAATCAACGAGTTGAATATTCTCAATCTAGTAAACACTGAAATTTCGCTAGCTTTCCATATTTACATATATCTGTAGAAAGCACCTCTAGCTTTCTGTATTCTCATCTTCATCTCATCTTTACAACTTCCTCTGTTATCTAAGATTACCCCTAAGTATTTTACATTCTCTACTATTTTCACTGTATTCCCTCCAACTGTAAAATCTTGAATTGAAGGCGCGTTTGGGGAGGGAAGAATAACCGTTTTGTTAAAGTTGATCCTAAGTCCAACTCTATAGCTTACTGTCTCAATTAGATAAAGTAGATTTTTGGTCTCTTCAATACTTTTCGAAATCACTACAATATCATCTGCATAGGATATTATCCTATTAACAAAAAAAATCTTCTCATTAGATCCTATGTCTACTAGATCTGCAGCTCCCAATACTTCTTTTATTATTTTATTGATGATTATGTTAAACAGGAGAGGTGAGAGGGTACAGCCTTGTTTTACCCCTATTTATTCGCTTGTTTAAGAAAAATTTTTGTATATAACGGGATTCGAACCCATGACTTAACGTTTTAAAGGCAAGCATTCTTCCCGCTCAGCCACCTTCTATATTAAATTTTGTAATATTATCTTTTTTATATACGTTATTATTTTGCTGTTATTTTTTATTTTTATTGGCTTATTAATCTTTATTTTTATTGGTTTATTAAGGTCTTATTTCATTGGTTTAAATTTATTTTCTTTCTATTTTATTGGTTTAAATTTATTTTCTTTGTTTTATTAATTAATAATCAACCATTTTTAATTAACGATCTTTTTTTAATTAACGATTTTTAAGAAGATCACAACCTTTTTTATATTTTTAAGAAGATAAAATTATTTCTTACCCTGTCAAGTAAAATTATTATATTAATAAAATTTAATATTATATATATTGATTTACATGGAAAATTTAAACATTTATACAAACCAACAAATTGTTCAAATTCTTTAGTAACAAGTGAAATTCAACTACCTTTTATATTAAAACATCTTCAATTTCCTAAATCAGTGTCAACCCTTTGATCATGTAGGTTTATATTACCTGTTTTATACCATGGAAAACTTAATGTCGGGTTACTCAAAAAATACTAAAGTTATGATTGTACCTATAAAATATGCTCAAATAATTAATGTAAGTATTTATTAAAATATCAATTAACCATTTTTAAATTTTTAAGAAGATAAAATTATTTCTTTAACTTAAAACATAATTTATATTTATTTATGTTCTTCTCACAATATCTCATGTCCATATTTTTATATGAACGGGGTAAATATTAAACTTTTTTTAAAAACGAATTTGTCATTTTTAAAAATTTGATAATTTATTTTTTTTCCCTGACGATAATTTCAATAAATTTGAGGGTTGATTAATTATTTTTTTAAATAATTGAGATGTCTACATGATCGAAGGTTTGACACTGACTTTTATTAATAGTAATAACAAAAGATGGGAGAATAGGAAATTGACGACGTTTTAATTTAAAAGGTTGGATTTTACTTGGTGGTAAATTGGTATTCCAGAGATCACATATTAATGGTGAGAGAAAAGTTTTGTTATGACTTTTAATGTTCAATTGGCTAAATATAATTTAAATTTATTTGTTAAATTTAAAATGTAATATGTACTAAGGAGTAGTGAATTTGATTGGCATATTGTGGTATAGTTACATAGTTTAGGTATTTGAGTATTTTAATTCCATGAAATAAATAGGTATATAGAGTCTATTTGACTTTAAACAATAATGTGTGAAATATTATAATTAAAATAATTTAGTTTATTTCTAAAGATAAATCTTATGCTTGAGAGGGTAAGATTGATGAGAATCATAAATTTCACCACTATTATATGTTTTTTTTATATATTTATTTTTTGATTGGTTAAATAAAATATATCTTTATTTTTTTAGTTGATATTTTAATAATTACTTGGGGTAGTTATTTGAGCATTTTAATTCCAATAAATTTGAAGGTTAATTAAGATTCAAAAAAAATTTTCCTGTAATAGTTCATGATTTTTTTATTCCCGTCATGATGGGTTATCAACTAGTTACATTATAATTGGCAAATTACGCTAAAATTAAATCAAAAAAATAATTTTTATTATAATTATATATTATTCATTTTTCACTGTTAGATTTTTTTTTATTTAATCCAGTTAATTAACACACCTTCCTCATTCTTGCGAATTCAAAGGATGACAAAATTTAAGTGACGAAAATGCTTGTTGTTAAATTTAAAAAAATATAAATAAAATTTATAAAATTGTTGATTTTAATAACAGGAGCTTGTAAAGTTTAAACAACTTGAGTTAGTCTGTAGAACTTTATATTATAAAATTAGCGATAAAATACAAAAAAACTCAACTTTAAGATCTACTACAACTAAATTTATATTAAAATAGAAAATTAACAACATCAAAAAACAAAATAATAAATAGTTATGATAGCAAAGAAGAGCACTTAAAAATCTGCTGGACTCGAGGGAAGGGAAAAATTTCTAAAAAAATTACAACGGGTCGGGAAATTCGGCCTTGGATTTTTCATAAAATTTTAATAGGTGAGCCCGAGAATTTCAAGCTAATATTTTGATTAATACTATTTGAAAATAAATTATAATATGCATATCTTGTATTTTAAGAGCTATCTAACTAAATTAGTATAGTATATTCGCAAAAGATTTAAAAAAATATTATTCATGATGTGATCCAATTACAAATGCACAATACAGATAAACCAAATTGATTTATAAAACGATTATTGTAGAAACAGATAAGCCATAGAGGAGAGATATAAAAGCCTTAATTAAAATTGGAAAAAATTAGAGATATATATACACAGTCGGCTGAGTATAATAGTGCAATATATCTATACCAAAATTGTTCAGAAGAGTAAAAAAAGGGATCTCCTATTTATTAAATAGGAAATCACAATGTAATAATGCAAATAAATGATTATTTATTCTCAATTATATTTTAACATTTTAATTGTAGATATTTAAGAATATAGTACTGAATTCATTTATCAAAAAAAGCATTTTGCAAGAAAGTGGATATAGAAAACTTAACCGACAATATATGATAAAAATCTTATGGCCAGAAAATTCGTACAAAAAATTATGGGTCGTGTCGGGCTTTTCATAAGTTTTAACTGGCCGAACCTGACGTCGTAAAATTTACAGGCCAGGCTGGGAAAATTTTAAAATAAATTATAACGAGTCGGCTTAGCAAAAAATTTAACGGACCGAAAGTCTTGTGCAAAAATTCTTAACGAGCAGGATTTGCAGACCTTCAATAGCAAAAGCGAAAAATAAATAACTTACAATTTTCATAAAACTTATTTTGACACATTTCGAATTATTTTTTATTCAAGACTGGATAAAAATAAAGCTTGCTTAAATTAAGGCAACAAGCTGGAATTTTATTATATTTATAAATTGTATATAAAATATTTATTTACTAAATAAATTTAAATTATAATTATTCACAAAATAAGTTATAATTATTTTATTATTGAAGGATTTATATTATTTTAAATTATCAGATCTATAAATTTGTTGCTCTGAAAGGTTTGATTGAGATGCATATTGCATTATTCCACCAAAATATGGATAACTAATCGATTTGTTGAGCTCTAAGATATCAAATAAAAGTTTATATAATTAAGCTAAAAAAAACTTGATAATCTTTTAAGAGGTGTAAGAGTTCGGGCGCATAAATATTTAGATTCAGGTATAATTTGAGTTTTTAGATAGTTCCCAGTTCTTTTGGAGATTATGGAAGATGACGCACTCGAAGGTCGGCTAACTTCAAGGTCTGAGGGCGAATGATTTTCGATTGTATTTTGATCATCCGTTGATATGGTATCCGAATTATTTGATATAGATATGAGAGGTATCATGTATTTTCTATTGGTAATCATGGTATCTTTATCTAAATAATTTTTAACATTAGTCTTTTTTTTGCTGTAGAACTGGCGATCAGGTAGAGACTGCACATCATTCATTTCATTATTATTAGAAATTCCGTTGGGTTCGTTTCCTTCGTTCACCAAATGATTTTGATTTCCTTCGGTTTTGGCCATTGATAAACGTCTCGAGGCTATATCTTCAAGTCTAGCTCTGGCATTAGGATATTCTTTCAACACCTCCCATAAATCATCTTTGGATAGAGAGAACAATTCTGAATACCCTACGGATCTTATAGAGGCAGTTCGTCGATTTCCGTAAGGCCCCATATTTAGAACCGATATTTCTCCAAAGTAACTACCCGCCCTCAATATCAGCAAAACAGTGTGATTATCTTGTCCGCCTATAATCTCTAATATACCCGTGTTTACGATGTACATTTCTTTTCCAACTTCACCTAAATTTTGTTTCAATAATTTGAATTAGAGGTTCCATTTGTGTATATGTTAAAGTCAATGTGCTGTTTTTTGTCAATGTGATATTTTTTTTAACTTTAAATCATTTTTAGTTTTTTTAAATTTAAAAGTCTGATTTTTGCGAAAATGTATTCTTGAATATCTAAATGGATTTCAGACAATTTTTCCTTTTGAGTCATTTATAATTTATATAAAAAATTTTTGAAAAAAACAATATAAGTTGTATTAATAAAAGTTCTTGGCAAATATTTTAAAAATCAAGTAAGTTTTCTACACGCAAAATATATTTTAACGAAATTGTATTTCTAAAAGTTAAAAAACGCGTTCAAAAATGATTTATAATTAAAAAAATTTACACATTGACAAAAAATACACATTGACGATAACCAATATAGTTTTTTCAAAAAGCATAGTTTCTTTTTCAATCTAGTTACTGTTAGGTCAATGTGACTAAAAACTTATAACCTATATAACTTGAGAGATGATTCCCTCAAACGATATTAATATTTTTTAAAAAAAACTTGCTATTATAAAATAAAATGTATTTATAATCTTATAAGTAAAAAAAATGACAAACATTGTTGACATTTTACAAGATTTACAGTGTTATGATTTTATTAAACATATTGATTGACGATTAAATTAAAACCCATCCATTTTAATACTCTTTTTGTTATTTTAATTATTTTTGCAAAGAAAATAATTTTATATGGATGAGTTTTAATTTAATCGTCAATATGTTTCATTAAATCATCACAACACTATATGTTATAAATCTTTAAAGTGATACAAGATAAATATGTTTTTTTTGCCCATTATTGTTAATAAATTAGAGTTAATTGAGATTTTTAAAAAGAACATTTTTTTTAAAAAAGATTTTTTTTTGAGAAAGCGCAAACAGGATTGATCAAATCTAAAATTCGATAGCTTTTTTTAAAAATATTTTATAAGTAAATTTTTTGTGATTTATATCAATGACATTTATAATCATTAAAATGCATTTTTAAGTGTCGTTAAAATCAAATCAGCTGTGGACCCGCCATTTTGATAACATATATAGTAATTATTCTTATGTTAAAAACTACTATTAAAATGATAACTTGCTTCCTTATTATCTCGATGATCCGGTAATTCTTTAATAAAGTTTGCATCAGATGTAGAAATAAATTAGGCTCTCGTTTAAAAATTTAAATGATTAGTGTAACCAAGATGGCGTCTCCAGCTGATTTGCATTAATGTACACTTTTAATGAATGAATCGTCAGTCTAGGTTTTATATATGTCATTGGATTTTATTCATGAAAAATATTTCATGATAAAATCACAATTTTTTTTAAAAAAAATCTTGACCTTCTTAAAAAAAATTATATTTTAAGTTATTTAAGATTTTTGGCACAAAATTTTGAACAAAAAAAGTCACAATTTTTTTCAAACTTAATAATAAATCATTAAACTTTTAGTCTTCACTTTTAAAGTTATCCATATAACTGTACATCCTAATTCACGTTAAAAAGCATTCACTCACCATGTTAAAGAAAAGAGTAACAAAATAAATGAAAAAAAATTAAATTCATATTACAATATAAATATTCTTTGACTTTAACATGATGTTATATTTAATCATTTCCTATCTTAAGAAGAGTCCAAAAAATTATAAAAATAAGGCCTATTTATTTTTTAAATTTCCACAAATTTGACCGTTTTTTTGCGAGATAGCATGTTCCTTTGTAGTTCTATTATTATATAATTATTGCATTCTCTAATCCTGAAATGCATAATATATTTATTTACCTACTTGTCATACTTATTTAAGAAAATATTTTTATATAATGTATTATAGTTTTCGAATGCCATCTAAAATCATACCATTTACCAATTAATGGTGATTGTTAATGTTTAATATCATATAAATCCTTCGTGACCATTTACCTTTGAGGCAAACATAATCACCGGGAGAAAATAAAACGGGTTTAAGTTTAAGAACCAGTTGTCTCAAAAATCCTGCTTCAGTGTTTTGAAAGATTTCGACTCGTCTTAAAGTGTCCAAATGAACGTAGATGGCCATTTCTGCTTTAAGTTTGTTTGGCAAAGTGTTAATTATTTTGTTTTCCTGAGCCGATTTCTTAGACAAGCGATTGTAATTAAGCCATTTGCAAACTTTGATCCTAAATTTTTTTGGCACATCTTGCTTTCTCATATACGTTTTGATAATATCCATTTGTACTGTTTATGTGTTTATATAAGTTTAAAAAAATAAGTAATGTTTTTAATTATTTACATTCTTTACAAAATATTATAATTAGTATACAACATATTTACTATTATATACTGTTAGATAATTCATTAAAGATCTCTAGAGAGGTCGTCAAAATAAGAGTCTAGTCTGATTTTATAAGTGTTCTAGAAGAAATTTTACATCTGAAATGAAATTTTAAAATTGAGAAGGACCGACAGAATTAAATGATTATAAATTTTTATTAATAATTTATTACAAAAATTAGCTTAGTGTTAGATGAAAATGGTTGACTAAATAGAATAGAATATATTCTATTTTATACGATAATAAGTGGAAAATTTATAAGTTTTTAAATGATAGGTGATTAAATGATGATACTCAATAAATTTTTTACTAAAAAAAGCCATATTAATATTATATTAAAAAATATAATATATGTCCTTCCTTTTTTATATGATTATATATTAGAGATCTGCAAAAGTAGGCCCGGCCCGTACCCGGCCCGAACCCGGCCCGGCCCGAACGGGCTTCGGGCCGGGTTTGGGCCTACTTTAAAAAAAAATTAGGGTTCGGGTTGGGTCGGGCCTAATATTTTTTAAAAAAATTCGGGCCGGGTCGGGCCGGGCCTTAAAATATTTTTAATATTGGCACTAATATTTTTTGTAAAATAAAAATATTTAATTTTATTTGAAGAAGCTAGACGCCATATGATGGCATGTATCTTTTATTCTTGGTATAAATATATAATTAAACTTTTTTTTTTAAGAAACAAGGCGGCAACATTTTTTATTTGTAAAATATAAATATTTAATTTTATTTATTTAGAAAGTAGACGCCATATGTCATATATATTTTATTATGGGTAAAATAATTTAAATGTTTTTTTATAAAACTTAAATTTTAAATATAATTTAAAAATGAATTTAATTTTTTTAAAAAAACAAATACAAAATGGAACATATATTTGTTTGCCCCATTTAGGTAAAAGCAATATATGGGAATATTTTGAAGACATATTTGATGATAAAAACAAAAAACGTGATTACGTCCAATGTAAAAAATGTAATAGTATATTACAATATAAAAGCACATCTGGAAATTCTCATTTAAGACGTCACAAGTGCGTTAAGAATGACGATTCCTCTATTCCTAAAATAACTAGGTATATTCAAAAGAAAATAGATCTAAATTCTTCCTTAACTATTAAAAAGAAACTATGTGATACCTTGATCTATTATTGCGCCAAGGACATGCGTGCCTTTGATTCGATAACTGGAGAAGATGGCTTTATAAAAATGGCTCAAAATTTTATTCAAATTGGCTCCATTTACGGTAATATTGACTGTAGCGAAATTATTCCCCATCCAACTACTTTATCGAGAAATGCTATAGTTATGACGGATCAAATTAGAACAAATTTGGTTAATAAAATAAATGTTCAATTATTTGATAAAAAATGCTCTGCTACAACAGACATGTGGACAGATTCTTTTAAAAAGTTTTCCTATTTAACTGTTTCAATTCATTATATCGAAGGTGAAACCTTATATAAACATGTTTTATTTACGAATAAGTTTAAAGAAGAGAAAAAAACCGCCGCGAACATACATAAGGAAATGCTACAAAATTTTGCTGCAATTGGAATAATTCCCGATCAAGTGAAAAATATAATATTTATATCTGATCAAGGAGCTAATATAATTAAAGCCCTAGAAAAATACACCAGATTAAATTGCAGCGCACATCTATTAAAAACTGTTCTTCGAAATACCTTTAAGGAACAATCTTTGAAAATTATCGCTCCCCTAATATATATCAAACCCTTATTTCTGCTAAAAAATTAACCATGTATTTTAAACAAACCGGCATGAATCAATATTTAGACAAAACATTACAACAAGATATCGAAACTAGATGGAATTCAAAATTAAATATGTTGAAATCTATTTATAACCAATATGATGACATCGTCAATTTTTTATCATCCAAGGGAGATATTAATAAAATGGAAAACTTGGAGAAATCTATTTTGAAAAATTTGATTGATATTTTATATCCTTTTGATAAAGCTACTAAAGAACTAGAAGGAGATATTAATCCTACTTTACATAAAGTACTGCTATGCTTTAATAATATTCTTCACGAGGATTTAAATGATTCATTTTATCAAAACAATGAAATAAAAGAAATAAAAACCAATTTAAAAAATTTTTTATTATCTAAATTTAAAATCAATATTTTGCATAAAATAGCGACATTTTTATGCCCCAAATATAGAAAATTAAGAATGTTATCATCAATGGAAATATTAGAAGTAGAGAATTCAGGTCAAAAATATAATTAATTCTGAAGAATATTGTCCTTCAATTGATATTATAGATTTGGATATTCAAGGCGTTTCTCAAATTGTGGAATCGCCTAAAAGATCTAAAGGTACATTTAAAATTGTTCTATTTATATTATTTTTATATATCAGGCAATGAATATGAAAGATGGGAGGACAATGAGGAAGAATATGAAAAAAAAGAAACAGATGAGCTTGAAATTTATAAGAATTTAAACATAAAAGAGAATAATGAAAATATAGATCCAGAAAAAGATATATTAAAATGGTGGAATAAAAATGAAATTAGATTACCAAAGATGACAAAATTGGCTAGAAAAATTCTAGCAATTCCTGCAACGTCCACAACTTCAGAGAGAACTTTTTCAAAGACTGGAAGGTTATTAGACGAAAGAAGAAATAGACTGTCACCAGAAAATGTTGATGCTTTGATATTTTTAAATGATAATTATAAATATGAATCTAATATATAGTTGTGTAATTTAACATTATAATTATTTTTGGTTTTTATAGGTATTTTTGATAGTATTTTAAATAAATAATTAAATACTAAATAAATTTTCTGTTTACTAAGATATTTTTTGCAAAAACAAAATCTTAAATATAAAAAATAAACTAAAAGCTAAAAAAAATATAATTATTACTTTAGGATGAATTAAAAAAAATTCGGGTTCGGGCCGGGCCGGCAAAAGTTTCTAAAAAAAATTCGTGTTCGGGCCGGGCCGGGAAAAATTTTTTAAAAAAAATTTCGGGCCGGGTCGGGCCTAAAAAATTAGGCCCGTGCAGATCACTATTATATATACTTAAATATAGAAATAATCGCACCAAAATTTTTGACATTGAATATGATGTCAAGAATATTAAGTTTTGTCGATTAATTATATTAACTGTTTTTTTCAGTCACGCATAAATTATAATGTATAAAGAATTCATGATAAATTTATCACTTTAAATGTTATAATAGGTATTTTGTCCTTGGTAACTAGTTAATAGTAAAGAATCCAAATTCTTTCATGGAGACAAATTATAATATAAATAATTCATTCTTTATTGAATTGAATTTATTTTTCCCTTTGTATATAAATAATAGTCATTTTTTTAAAATATGCTCGCAAAAAAGGAATCAAATTTGAATTAAAATTATATTTAAAAGGGAAGGAAAAAACTACGTTGCAGTTTTTTTTGCGACATCGTCAAATTAGATCTTTCACTAGAAAATTAATTCTTATAAATTTGAAAAAAAGTGGAATATTAAATAAAAAATTTTTAATTAATTAATCTTTCTAAATTATATTAAATTTTTTTTATCTAAAAATCATCTTTTCCTGTAATTAAAAAAAGAAATTAAGTGTTGTATATACTTTCAATTATTTATAAATTGTTGAAATTTAAAATAACAAAAATTAAATAAATTATTGATTTTTTGTTGTTAAAAGATAGTTTTAAAAGTAGCACGCTATCGCTGCCGCTTTTAAAAATGTAGCCCTTTTACGTATCGCTATTTCCACAAATAAAAAATATGACTAAAATTTCGAATATATAATTTATTTATTTTTTATTGCATATCAATAAATTACATTTTCACAATGTCATCCCCCAGTCTAGAGCGACGATCAGAAAGTATACGGCCATATTCAATTTACATATTATAATTAAAAAAATAATCAAAAATATTATGAGTATTTTTAAATTTATAAAAAGGGTACTAAAATATATTTCAAAAACTATAGTAGGTGATGTTTTTGATCTAGCCAGGTTCAGTCTAATATTATAATAGTAATAGTTAGAATAAAAATTATATAGGGGATAAGTGGAAGACTGTGTTTGCCAACTGAATAGGCAGGGTTAGGCAGTATCGCGGATATTTGTATCTAAGATACAAGATACAAGATACTTTTGTATCTTGTATCTTTTTTAAAATTTTGAAAAGTATTTTGTATCCAGTATCTAAGATACATATTATTTAAAAGTATTTGTATCTTAACAACTTTGTATTCAAAAAGATACAGATACTTTAAAAAAAAATTATATTGGTTAATTTAAATAGTATTAAATTTTTAAATGATATTGTTTTAAAATTTAAATGAAAAATTTAATCAAAATTTAGATATTTGACGTTGGTCGTCATATAGCAATTTGCTAACAATTAGAACTACCATATTTGAATCGTTTTATATCTATCTATTTTAAAATTATGGAAAAAGAAAATAGAATAATATGTTTATCTTCGTCTTCAGATGATTCTTCAACCGAAAATTATAACAATAAATTTAAACTAAGCACACTTAATGGCAAATTTTTTGAAGTACTTCAAGATGATCATAATAAAGAAATTCATCCTGACTTTAGTATTGACGAAAAAGTTATAGCAACTGTTACAGATAACGGCTCTAACTTTAAGAAAGCTTTCAAGGAGTTTGGATATTCTATGGAAGCTATAGAGAATGATTTTGACATCAATGATGATGAATGTATAGAATTCGAAATCATTAAAAGTATTATTTAATACTTCTTTAAAATTTATTATGATATTGTAAATTTAGTAAAAAATTTTATTCAAATAAAATTATTTATCTGTTTATTTAAGGGTCTAAAGAAGCCTCAATAACATTGCCTCAACACATTCGTTGTTTATGCCATACGATAAGTCTAATTGCTACAACAGATGTCGAGAGAGCTATTAAGGATTCTCCTAACATTTCTAAAATTCATCATCCTGCAATACCTAAATGTACTAAGCTATGGAGTGTAAATAATAGGTCTAAAACTGCAGAACTTATCTAAGCAGTTTTAGGAAAACAATTAGTTACACCTTGTTGCACTAGATGGAATAGTTTGTATGATAGTCTTCATAGTTTATTAAAATTTAAGGGCGAACTTCCTAAATTATGTCAAAAATTAGAGTTTCCTAAATTAAGAGATATTGAAATTCAATATTTAGAAGAATATTGCAATATAATGGCTTCATTGGCTATAGCGATTGACAAAATACAGAGTGAAATCAACTGCTATTAGGGAGAATCAGCTCCAATTTTAAATGTCGTTAAAAAAAATTACAAATTTAATTCAAACCAATCTACAATTTTGCAAACCATTAGCTATTGCCATAGAAAATTATTTAAATAAAAGATTTAAAAATATATATGATTTTGATAACAATTTTTAAAGTGCATTTTTGGCAACTATTTCTCATCCCTATTTTAAAAATCGTTGGATTGGTGGTGAAAAAGAAAAAAATACCTTAAGGATTTGTTATTACATGAAGTTTTAATTGTTTTTAAAAATAATATTGATATTAATACTTCAACAAAATCTTCAATTGATGAAGATGATGATTACTTTTGCTTTAAAAGTACCACATCCAATTCTAATAATTCAATAAATGATATTGAAATAGAGGTCCTAAATTATATGAAAGATGACAGGCGGAGTATAAATATGTAAATAGTTATAAATATATAAAAGAAATATTTATTAAATATAACACAATATTACCCTCCTCAGCCTCCGTTGAAAGATTATTTAGCTTTGCTAATATGGTTAATAGACCAAATCGTCAAAGATTGAACGATAAATCATTTGAAAAATTAATAATATTAAAAAATAATGCTGATATATGATGCTGATTTATCATTATTTGCTAATTATATAATTATTAAATGGAATATCGCATTATCTTTTATAATAAATTTGTTATTTTCTACAATTTATTTTAAATATTTTTTTATAAATTTATATTATAGATAAGAAAATAAAGCTTTATACATTTTGATTTTGACTATTTAAAGAAAAGTATCTTGTATATTAGATACTTTTTTTAAAAAAAAATACAAGTATCTTGTATCTTATATCTTAATGAAATTTTTCTAAAGTATCTAGTATCTTGTATCTTAAATACAAAATTTTATAAAGTATCTGTATCCGAATACAATTTTCTGAAAATTTGCTCAACCCTGTGAATAGGCCACCACCTTTTAACATTTATCTATTGAACCAATTTCTCTCAAAATTGGTTAAAATGTGATGTGATAGAAATCAACTTTCACATAAACTCATCTAGTTCATAAACTATTAGATTCAAATTTTATAAGGATTGGGCTTTTTTTAAAAGGTAACTGGTTACAGTTACTAGTAACATTTTTCAAAAATTTACTTGTCAAGCTGCAATTACATTCCAATAGTAACAATTGCAAGTTACTTTATAAATTATTTATAGAACTCATCATTATAATTATTATTTTTATATAAAAATAATTTTGGGCTAATATTTTCAGGCATAACACAATATAATATTTATTTGCACTTGTAAAAAAAATATCACCATACAATATTTATTTGCACCAAAAAAATATAAATACCACAATTTTTCAAAAGATTAATAAATTGTTATCTCATTTTAAAAATAAATTATTAGTTATTTCTTTGCAAAATATTACTTTAGCAACACTATATAATATTCATTCAGTTTAGTAAAATTTACTTTTAATATTTCTATAAAAGTTTCTGGTTACAGTTATTTTTCTTTCAAAAGTTATTTTTTGAACATTACTGTAATATTCATTCCGTTTAGTAAAATTAATTATAAGACTTCAAATTCTGTCAGGTTTTGAAGGGGGTGACCATAAAGCATTTGATAATAAAATTTACCTTTTATCTACCAAGGTTATATAAATAGTTGTCTATCCGTTAAAAATAATTTAAAAAACAACCAATAATATTTTGGCAACCTAAATATGCTATAATTCATTTTATTTGGTAAAATATAAACAACAACCTAATGTAATGACGTTAGTGTTTAATATAAATCTATATTTTTTAAAAAATTTTTAGGTTTTAATTTGTATTATGGGATTTAACATTAAATTTTATACACACACTCCATTTTCATTTATATCTTTCATCTTGTTAAATCACATTAAGATTAATATCTATGGGGATTTGTTTAATATATTTAATATGATATCAAATCAAGGTTAAAAAATAATTTTGATTAATTGTTATTTATTACTAATATAATCTACTACATCCATCATAATAATGAATTTAAAAATGAAAATTAATCATTTAGATGACATATTGGTTTCCTCTCAATAAAATGCCATTAATTGAAAGATAAGATTATCTAATAATTATAAAAAAATAAAGTTTTTAAGGGACATTCTAGATTGTTCAAACATTTTACTTAAAAATTGAAATACCTTTATCAACAAAAAAAAAGATAAACAATCATCTTCAGCTATGAGTGGAATATATATTGCATGATGATTTCGGTAAACAAATTACAAAAGTATCGATAGCTCGGGATTGGTCATAATGGATTTGAAATTGAAATCCTGACCTCGATATTTAATTCTAAAAGGAAATGGGAAAAATTGGGTAATATATGCCAGATAATTATACAGAGAAACATCTGAAGGGAGAAGGGAATAGAGAAGCCTTTATGTCTCCATGAAAAGCTAGTATGAGGAAGGAAAAAGTCAATGGGGAAATGTATTAAATTAAGAACAAGTGTCCTAAAATAACAGAAGGCAAGAAACAAGAACATCTATCACATATCTGATAGGTAGGGTTATAGAGAAATTTTAAAAAACAAAGACAAAATTGATAAAAGTTAGATTTAGAAATGTGATAACAAATGATGGATGATACATATATATATTGAAGATAGATAAGAGTTACAAATTATATAGAGTTACTACTTTAAGTTGGATTATATCAAGTGTTTAAAATATTAAACAGTAGAGCAATAAATGCTTCATAAAGATGAAGTGAAAATAAATAAACAGATTAAATTATAACGAGTTCAAAGCGCTAAGCTTATATAATATTAAATGATTTGTGATGAACACTATAATTGATACGACAAATATACCAAATAAATCAAGAGATTTTTTATCATTATTAATAGGCAGGGTCTACATGACAAGATTTTTACTGGATGCAAACCCTCTTCAAAAACCTTTGCCTACCTCCCTAAAAAAATTTCGCCGCCTTCGGCGGCGGTGTCTCTTTATTATTATTTTCACCTATTTATTTTGATACTCTTTTCAAAGAATTTATAATGGATAACTTAAATTAATCTATCTCTATATCAACTATCGATATTTTGTGAATATAAAGAATTTATTTTTTAGATAATAAATTCAATTAAAACCTCCATTATTTACAATGAATTAATTATTATGGCATTATGAGCTTGTTGAAATATCTAAACCTTTTAAATTACATTTAAAAGGATAGTTTATTTGGAAAACAATGTGTATGATTGTTTGCAATATATAGATTTGGTCGATGAATTGTATTATAATAATACTATAATAAAAGTATTAATTTTTACAGCATTAAATTTTATCCTATTTCATCTCAAAATTTAATAGATAACCCGTCAAAAAATTTATCCTACCCCCATTAAAGCAGCTTACCCCCTACCCCCTCAAAAAAATAGTATGCAAACTGTTCCTACCCCTCCCGCTCATGTAGACGCTGTTAATAGGTTTATGGTGACGGGGAGGTAGAAGAGGGTGAGAGGTGTTTATGATCAATAGACATTACGAAGAAGAAATTGTTTCAGAGCGATCTATTTATTCTAAACTAATAAGATAAATCTTATGAATAATAATATGATCGAGCTATAAAAAATATCATAAGATAATAATAGTTAAAGTCAATGGTCCTGTCCTATCGGTCTTAGACTAAACTGGACCGATTAGCGGGCCGATCCCTTTTGAGACCCACAGTCCGAGCCGGTCTTTTACGTTCAAGATTGGTTTTTTATTAATATTTAAGGGAAGAACACCAAATTGGTTGTTTAGACTAAGGTGTGATTCAAGCGGAAAGAGAAGAGATAAATTTTTTATATGAATTATGTTTACTTCATATGCGTATCCAGGATTTTGGTAAGGGAGGGGGAAGAGCACTATAAGATGAATTTTCCTGGTAAATTTTATTGGAGATTATAGGTCCACTTATTTTAGGTCTTTGGCTATATTAGATTTTTATAAAAATAATTTTGGTTTTTCACTTTTTTTATATTTAAAATCCTTTTTTTTAAAAAAAAATTGAATTATAGTAGTTATTTAAAAAGTTATCAACTTTTACTAATTATTCTTTTAAATTTTTTCTTAAAATTTTACATTTTTTGAAGTGGAAAGGGGGGGTGTAGGGGGGGGGGTTTATTAGCTAAAAATTATATTTACGAGAACTGGCAAATTTGCAAAGAGGGAGGATTCCCCCACCCCTTTGCACGCCTGGTTTATTAAGAGGGTTAAAAGTAATATTTGAATTAGACAGAATGGGATAAGTTAAACAAGGTTGATATAAAGAGTTGTGTTAGAAAATACTGAACTATATAATTTTACCTAGCGAACATTATTATCAAAAGCTTTCTGTATATCCATCACAGGGTTGAATAAAAATCTTTATAATATATTACCTTTTTTATCTATTTTAACATTGATGTTTTCAAAATTTATAATCGGTAAATCTATTTTGTAACTCACAAAGGATGACATCACATAAATATAATCGGTAAAATGTTAGTTTTAGAAATATAATAAAGTTTTTTACTAAATTTATATCTATCAGTAAAATCTAAAAAATTAAATTAGCATACTATTTAAATTTATTCTATTTACTTTGATATTCTCTTTCTTGCATACGAATAGTAGATATGAGGCTGGAAACTTGCCCTAACATATAGGCAAACAAAATCAATCCCAGTATTATTTGTGATATTGAGAGAATGTGTTCCCCGTTGGAATGTGGTTTTGGCATATCTCCTATAGTAGTTAAAGCTAAAGTACTCCAAAAAAGCGACTTAAGATAAGGGGAGGCCGTTTCAGAATGGTAAATTGTATGATTTGCTCTGTAAAGATTTAATGTTTCACCTGGTCCATAATGCTCGTGAGGATGTTTTATTGAAACATTTATATTTTTTTCGGCGATATTCATATAAGATAATTTATTACGGTCTGGATGGTTGAAGTCATGTAAATGAGTATCGTTTCTCCTTATGGGAATGTTAAAGTTGAGGGCCTGAGAAACACAGTAAACGACGCAGGAATTCCAATGAAATATTACGAGTAAGTAATGCAACAAAATGAAGGTTCTAAACATGTTAGGATAATTTATATTGCATTCAGTTCTATCTATAAAATTCCAAAATTTGAAAATTTTTATCAAACGAAATATCCGCAAAAGGGAATTATAGCCTAATGAAAGATACAGAAAATCAAGAGGGAGTATGGCAAGACAGTCCAGGTAAAAGGTGGTTGAATTTAGATACCTTTGCTTGATGCGATTTAAGTTATGCTGAAGTACTCCTTCTTTGAAATACCCGACCCTAAACCCAAATAAAATATCACATATATATATAAAATCAGCGGTGTAATCTAAGGCCAACCATTTAATTTTGTTATATTCGTTTATTTCATCAAAGGCATACCTGTAACCGATGACCCATAAGTTGTATAAGAAGGCGCCTACGACAAAAAAGGACCAATAATAAGTTGATTGGCCAGTCGGGTCGAAGACCACATTTTTGGAGTATTTTGATTTATCAAAAATCGGTAAAAAATAGAATATAAATCGTCTATTATTGGTATGTGGCATGCTTTTTATTTGAATATTTGTATCTTCATCATAATTGGTAGATGAATATTTATTGATATTCGAATAATTACATTTACCATTGTGATTGGAGAAGGAATGTATGTTGTTACCATTTGTGCCTTTGTTATATCTTTTGTATTTCCGACAGCAGCCGTATTTGACGTAATTCATGAATATAGCCAAGGAGTTTTTATAAGATTACTATTTAAGGTGTGGTGGGATAGCTATTTGTGAAAATATGTGAATATTGGTAAATTTTCTAAAAAAATTAATAACATTCAATATCAATATATTTATTTAAATTGAAGCCACTACAAAATAACTTATTTGAGAATATTTATAATTTCAATGCATCTTACTACTATAAGAATATAGTGATGATCTTTAAATTATTTGTAATGAATATTTTTAGACTTTAATATTAATAGAATTTTTATTTTTATATTAAATATTATAACATCATTTATTTAAAGGCCTTTTTATTATTATTGATTATTATGTTTGTAACGTCGTTGTTGGTTAGGACATTTTTTTTTTCTTCAAAAAACAATTATATTTTTATATAAAAATAATTCTTAATGTCAAATTTTTGATAATAATGAATTCTTTTAAATTAAAAATTAATTAATATAATATTAAATTTCTTCTGTAAGGAAAGAAATCTTATCTACTTAAAAATCAACCTTGAACTTCAATGAAATTATTGATCTCAAACTTTTGTTCTAAACAAATTCGATAAATTTCATTTCACTGGTATAATTTTAATATTTGACATATCATTTAAAAGTGTGATATGTTTACCCGAATACTTTTACACACTTATATTGTTCCATAAAACATAGAAATACAGTATAAATAAACCAATTTAAAATAAATAAATATTCGAAAATTATAACACATCTATAGCACTCTAAAAACAACCCAAAACGTGAGCAAATATGATATCTGGGAGCATTATGAGCTGTTTATTTTAGTTGGTTATTACAGGTACAACCAAAAAATATGAGATAACTTAATTATAGATAAGATATTTTTTTTATTATTGATTTTATTTTGTTTTTTAACGCCTCCCCTCCCATCTTCATTCCCTATTCAGAATTCATTTTTATTGTATTTTTTTTTAATTATATTATTTGTATATAATTTATAATTATAATAATTTGGTCAAAAAATAAAGGAAATTATTATAATTAATAAATAATATATAAAAACTCATAAACAATGAACGAGCTATTTAATATTAGATTATTAGAAAAATATTAGTATATTCCTTAGATGAATATATGGATTTGAGTATAGAATGTGTATACAGTCTATTTTTAAAATGAGCTACGCTCGATATAGATAATATATAATATATTTATATAATTTATAATTTATTTTTAATTTATTCTATATTATTACAACAATTCTTATCGTATTAAGTTAAAAATTAATTTATTCAAAAAAATATTTCCACAAAAGGGGCTTTTATCAATACCAGTTTATTAATTGCAAGCTTAAAAGATTTTGGAACCTTTTCTTATTATTGTATTGGAAATTTTTTTGGCATTTAATATTAAAATAATAAATAAGCAATAATATTAAAATACGCCCTTCTGCGGATAATAAACAAATTTAGGTTAACAATTTACAGAGTTGTTAAAGTATCTAGTTACAAAAATGTAATGTAGTATCTGCAGCCAGACACACTTTTAAAAAGTATCTGTATCTAGATACTAGTTTAGAAATATCTGTCTAGATACCTTTAGATACATTTTGATATAATTTCATAACGCCTTTTTATATTAAAAATAAATAATATTTGAATTAAATTCATTCTATAATATGTCCGAATTTATTTTATATAAAAAACAGACAAATTATATTTTACTCGATGGATGAAGGCAACATGGTAAATTATAATAAAACGGATAGACATCATGCATGAGAGGGATCTATATATTAGTGAAAATACGCACGCTTAAACTCCTTAGTGGGTGATGAAATTACACTTCGTACAATTTATGGCTTGATGAATGAATGAACTTTAAATATGTTCATCATAATTTTTAGAACAATATTTCTAGACAATCTGTTAAAAGGAAATCAAATAATAAATATTATATTTTTTAAGACCCCTTAGATGATATAAATAGTGATATATGTCTATACCCGGGACCCGAACCGTTATTTATAACGTTCAGCTTGATTACGGTTCAGTATGTAAAAAGTTATAAGGGTTACGTTACGATTCTTAAGAGAAAATTTATAAAGGTTCAGTTCGGTTCAGCTAATTGTAAAGGTTTATAATGGTTCATTACTAGGAAACTTTTTTTATTGAAGCAACACCATCTTCTAATTTATTTTTATTATAAGCATCTATGAATTATTTATAAAAAAAAAGATTCAAAATAACTCCTCTTTTAATATATTATTTGAACTCATAAGTAATATATTTTCTAATATAAATGGATTCGTATTTGTTCGTTGTGACGATAACTCAAATTTTAGCCTCGAAAAGGCCCTTTCTACAAAAACTTGTGTTGCGGGAACCGCCAGTACTATAAGAGCAAGTTTATAAAATTCTGGATATTCAAATTTCTTCAATTCCTAAAATATAAAATCTGATTGAATCGGTTGAAATCTGTTTAACTTTTTTTATAAGGTTCTTTTTACTCCTTAAAAATAATTATATCGGTTCGGTTACGGTTCAGATATTTATAATGGTTTATAATGGTATGTGTGTCAGAACTTTGATATATTTAATGATTATAATATAAAGTTGGTACCCATTAAATATAACAATCACTTTACCGTCAAGCGCCCCGGTAGAATGAGTTTAGTTTGGTTAAAAAGGTATTAACAGATAAGCGGGAATGCCTCCATGATAAAAATTTTGGGAATGTTTATTATTAAAATCTATCAATTAAATGATATATTTTATGAATTATTAAAATCTAGCAATCATTATTTTCATATATTTTTATATTGATGTGATATCAGCTCAATAATTATTTATCTCACTTCAAAAATTAAATTTACAATAAAATCCTAAATTAAATATTATTGTCACCTTAGTATAAAAATTGTATCGGTACCATGTATTTGTAAAAATGGTCTGTATCTAGATATGTTTTATAGATCTAGATCTATTTTTAGACGATATATCTGTATCTAGATCCATTTGAAAAGTATCTTTTAACAACTGATAATTTATATATCGCAATGGTAAGTCATTTTATTAATGATTTACCGGAATTTAATACAAATGTGAATAAACAATTTTTCAATGTATTTATTTCTTTATTTAGAGAGCCAGTAGATAGTGCAAAAAACAGCTCAAATCAAATAATACTGGAAGACAGGAATGTTATGGAATACGTTTTTTAAAACCCATTAAGGACTGTGTAGAGGCGGGCGTCAAAATAATAATTTAAGCTATTCATTACCATCTATTTCCATCGTATTTATTAAAAAATGAATAAATTTTCAAAACTTTTTAAAAAATGATCTATGCCAACCCTAGACTTATAATATTCATTGAATACTTAAAAAGCCAAAAAGAATGAAACAAAAAATCTTACATCTTTGAATGATAATGAATAAGCTTGTTTTATTTAGTGCCTACGATTTTAAAATTTAAAAATTATGAGCCATATAGAATATTTTATTTAAAAAATTAAATTATTATTTTAAAGATAAATTTAGAAAGATTAATAATAATTTTATAGCAATTTATGTCATCTCTCTAAAAATCCTTTGTATAAATTTGAATTAACATATTTTTATAACAAAAGAAATGGTTTTTATATTTCATTTCCCAATAAATTTTTTAATGCAAGTTGGCTTTAAAGAGCGAGTTAAAGGCCCTTTTAAAATGTAAAGTATTTTTTAAAAAAATTGGGGTTGACAGGATAAAAAGTACTGGGTGATAGAAATGTATTACAAACTTTTTGCGAATTGTTTTAAATTGATAATCTTCTTTACACCACAAATAGTAAAATAATTTTTTCTACCGAACTCGGTTTGGGATGGGGTAAAAGGTTTTGGGTAATAAATCAGTTTTAGAAAACCCTGGGAGCAATTTTAAATTGATGGGGTCAATTTTCATTACTCCACGAGGGTATATTTTAATTTTTAAACAAGTTTTTTTGAACAGGATTAAATTTTGAAATCTTGAGTAGTTTAAAATGCATCATACAAATTTTAATTATTCCATTAGGAAATAATTCATTGACAAACAAATTGCTTAGACTGGATTATATGATTTAGTGTATCTACACATTTTTAATTTATTTATTAACGGAGTAATAAAAATTGGCTTTCAACTACTCCGAAAGGTTGTATAACATCTATTTAAATATTCATCAAGTTAAAAACCGAGTTGCTTAAAAATTCTCTAATTCCCTTGTGGAGTAAAGAAAATTGATGCTATCAGTTTCGACGATACTACCCAAACCTTTTGCCAGGTCCAAAATCACCTTGTTTAATAAATTTCACCCTTTCCCTTTTGGAAAAAGAAGAATAGCACAATATTCCCAAAAGAGTTGTAATACTGCTACAACCAGAACTTTGGTCAAAACTCAATTTTTTAGATTTATATTTTGAAAGCGCTTTGGCGCCAACCTGCATTAAAAATTTTATTGCAAAATAAAATTCAACAACCATTTTACATACTATTTTTTGGTTATAAACTAAAAGATGTTAATTAAATTCAAATTATTTTTAGGTAAAATTGATAATATTACTATAAAATATTAATGGCTTAATTTTATTTTTAAAATAATTTAAGAACAATATTTTTAATAAAGTATTTTTTGTATAAAGCTACTGTAACTAAGCATCAGTAATTCAACATGCAATTCAATCTAAACTGTAGACCTTAAAGCCACCGAGGTATGGGCTTGGCCGTAATTTTTTTTTAAATAAACCCGGGCCGACTCTAAAAAAATGTTTTTTTAAATAACCGGGCCGGGCCTAAAATCGATAAAGAAATTTGAATATCCGATCCGGGCCAGATATTTTAAATCGCAACTATTATATATTTTTGTATAAAAATTAAAATAGATAAAATATTTTTAATAATTAATAGATCGTGTATCTTTCATTCACTTCTCATATTTCCATTTCAAAATAATTTTATCGATCGTTAGAGGTAAATTTAAAAATTTTACGCTAATATATTTCACTAACTTTTTGGTGTTAAATGGATAATAATCTTCACCTAGCATTTTGGAATAAAAAAGAG